CCAAGTTTGGACAACACTGGCATATAGTTTCTAGTGCTGAAACTCTGCTGGGTGCACACATCACACTAAGCTATTTATTATTTGATTTTTTAAAAAACTTATTTAATCCAACTGATAGGCCATCACAGTTGCAGCTGCAACTTTAAGTGGCTTACAAATATAAATAATTAGGAGTAAAACAGTAAAGAAAGAGGAAATAACAACAAACAATAGAAGTACCAGACACCTACATCAGGGAAACCAACTGGATCCATTACAAAACAGTACAGAAGATACATCAGGGAGTTGGATCATAAGCCTCTCTACCCTAGGAGGCAAGGGCAGCTACAGAGAAGTTTGTGGTATAATGTGGTTTGTTTGGTTTAGGGCTAATGTGTCAATCCCATGGGTTATTGTTTAGCAAATAAACTACAGCTGGCTTGAATTCACATAGCATACTAAACCATAAATCATAGTTTGCATACTACAAAGGCTTGGGTATGCAAAGCCAAACTAATTATTATTATGATTAGCATAATGATAGTGACTGAATGTCAGTTGGCACAGCAGTTAAGGTGTAGAACCAAAAATTAATGAGATCTGCTTTTGAGTCCACCTTCAGCTACAGAACCTCAGTAGGTGATCACAATCTCTCAGCCAACCTACCTAACAAAGTTGCTGTGAGGATAAAAGTAGACGAAGGGATTACATCTTGAGCTCCTGGAGGAATGAGAAGATATACATTTAATGAACAGGTGATTAAATAAAGAAATAATGAACTAGAAGAGATGTTGTACACATTAATTAGCTCTAGAGGAAAAGTATAATGAAAAATGTAAACATGCATTTGGCTTAGATTATGAATCACACTAGCTATAACCAAAGTGGTCAACAGCAAGGCCTGGATAGAGCTTTGATTTAAAACAGTAGGCTGCTTTAGTTCATATTAGTTTGATCACTCTTCCTAGTGTTCTATAGGTCATGTAGGTGGAGAATTATGAGCTATCTGGAAGGTACTTGGAGAGTCTAGAAGGTTGCTCTAAGATAAGAAGTATACCTCTGTAAATTACTTCCCTCTGCACTTCTAAAGCCTTATTTAGCTCTTCAGTAAACAAACTTGGACATTATAGAAAGTAAACCATCAAATCTTTCCCTCCCTACCAAAACAAGTCTAACAACTCCAGTTCCAAGACAAAATAACAATTAAATCAGTTTAAGTCTGTGGCATTAGTTATACTCTCATGGAGTTTCACAGCCTTCATTACTGGCTATGTTCACACATAAACCAGGCTCTGAGTTTGAGATTCAGTCTATTCTGGATAGGTTTGCCCTATAGTTTGGGAGTTCTCCTTGAACAACAATGATACTGAATGGCTGCAAAGAATATATGTATGCAGTTACATTTAGTGTACCACCTGTGACCATTCCTGAGCTGGACAGATCTAGCAAGTTACTCAAGACATAGTTACATCTTAACTGTGGTGAAGTTAGAGGTGTGTTGCTGGGAACATGAATGTTTCTTTACTTTTATCTGAAGTTTATCCTGTGTTGTTGGCTGAGAATCCAAATGACTTTGCAGCAAATATTAGTTTATGTAATGTAGCAAGATATATTGTTCTAAAAATTAACATATCAAAGACATGTTAATAAATATCAAAGATATTTGATAAATATTTGATATTTGATAAATATCAAAGATAGTTATGGCTGGTGTGGGTCTTCCGGGCTGTGTGGCCGTGT